TATGTCTTAAAAAAAAAAACAGTTAATAAAAAATAACGTTGTTAAATTTTAAATTTGCATTGACTGATTTATGCCATAATGTCATAAAATTATTCAAGTCAGCAAGTTTATATCAAAACTGATATAAATAGGACATTAATGGAATTGAAAATCAATTATTTTGTGTTGTGGGAAATCGGATAAAACTGTAAATGTGAAATGGTGATGCAAGTTATGAACGTACGTGGTTAATAGTGTGTTAATAATTCACTAGGCAGGTGTTCCGATCTTAAGGAAAACAAAGTGTTTAGCATTGTCTACAATTAGTCGAACGCTATTTGCACTTGACGCAATTTTGATAAAAAATCTTTTTAAGGCCATTGTCTTGAAAGAAACGAAAATCATAAATAAATGAAGCAACACGCACTTTAGGTATTAGTGAGTCTACATCTGCTTATACAATCCATGCGGTCTAATACCTGTCTCTTGCATTGTTGTTAAATGTCACCTAAAATAAGAATTATCATCATCATCATCATCATCATCCATATCATCATCATCATCAGAGTAACAATTCGTTAGTTCATATAGGGTCTGTTGTTAGATTTACATAAAGGGCCTACAGGATAGCGCTTTACATCGAAATGTCAAAGGACTCGAGGCGTAGACCAGATCCTACAGTGTCTGAGCTACCCGCGCTAAACTGGTATTACAATATTAATATTATTTTTATTTTTTAATTATTATCATTATTATTAGGCCCATTGTTATTATAATCATCATTGTTATTATTTATTTTAGCCAATCATAATAATATAAGATATACTATTTTTATCTGTTAAATCTACTCAAAAAAATTCAAGGCTTAAAATAATTAACGAATGTGTTACTTATGGCCTATATATTGGCGTGTATATTGTAAGAATCATTATCGTACGCAGTCTAGTAAGGATTTTTTTTAAATCAGGGCAATTTATTGTTGGGTTATAGTTGTTGGCATAGTAGTAAAATGGATGTGATGCCTTAGAAAGCGATTCAGTTCAAGATCACTTTGAGTTTCTATTCTTAAGAACCATGAAAAATCTATTTTCAATTATGATTAACGAGAGCCAAAATAAGGAGTTGCTTTGATAAACAACCATAGCTCACAATATGAAGGTCAGTGTAAATGTGTCATTGAAATGTATATACTACCGTATATCTCCTGTAAAACGGGGGTTCCGATTGATTAAAGTGGAAAATAGATCATTTAAATATATTGATTTCAAGAAATCTGAAGACATAGCAAAAGTGTTAAGTGAATGTCATGTAATAAATGTCGAATAAATGCCTCAGATGTTAAATCCTTAGTAAAACACGCATGCCCAAGTAAATGAGAAAGTAGAATAATAATAATAATAATAATAATAATAATAATAATAATAACAATGTAATTGTATAAATTGATATGAATAGGATACACACCATTCGAAATATTATAATGATTATAAAATAAAATGATTAAATTGCTAATACGGAAAAAAAAATTAAATTGCTAATACAGTTAGGTTGAAAAAAAAGACAAGGTACGCAATCCTGCCACATAATGATGTTTAAAAATATGAATTTAAAAGTCCTCATATATTGTATGGTTTTGGTTGATTATTAAGTATAATAGCGCTTCGTCGGGTGGAATAAAACAAAAACGATTTATGATCAAGGTTTCAAGGCAACTGAAAATGTGAACTCAATTATTGGCGATTTTTGGAGCACTTTCCTAATTTATGTCAATGGTAATTGAAACAATGCTGTGCACTTTACTATGCACGATGCTGTGCTCTATAAATGCACTACGCCATTCACTAATACTACAGTGTGCACTATGCTGTGCACTATATTATTATTATTGTTATTGTTATTATTATTATTATAACTGTTATTTTTATAATTATTATTATTAATTATTATTATTTACATTTATAGTAATTTACTCGGTGTTATCACTATTATTATCATTATTATACTTAAATACACATTTTTATTGCTGCTGTTTTGATGTGATGTATCTGTGATTTCCTGTTTTTATTAGTATTTAACAAATACATTTTGTAAATCAGATTTATTTCTGCAAGATTATACTGTTTTATGTACAAATTATTTGAATAAAAGATACCGTAAAATGAATGATTGAATGGAATGTTTTTTTTTTATTATTATTTTTTATTTAGGGTCGGGTAGGGGAATTAGCCGACTTCTCCCCCCCCCCCCGGCCCCCCCCCCCCCCTCCATTTAATGTGCCTATATGGTATTGGATCTCCTACCAAATCATATTTTCTAGATGTTAGCAAGGTTTTCGCGCAGTCTTAAGCCGGAAACTCTGCGCCAGACGGCTGTCGGCCGACGCGATTCTATGGAGAACGAACCGCAACGACGCGCGCAACGGATCGCTTTTAATGGCCATCCGTTCAGACTGCCACTAAATCAGCAGACGACGTCACGTTGTCCAGCGCACACAGGGAACGGAGTTTAGATTAGTCGGCCGACGGTCGTACGACGCAGTGCTGCCAGGCGTTACACTTACATCATTGTTAAATGTTTTCTACAGTTCCACCAAGCTCGTTGTGGTTTTAGAATGATTCCATTTAATCAACGCTTATGTTATCTTTTCCATTCATTTTTTATCCTAATTTTTTTAATGTATAAAAAATATTTTTATCCTAAAAGAGCATTTTTTGTATTTTATTTCTGAAAATATAGATTCAGTACTTTATTAATCATGAGAATAATATTGGATATAATGGTGTTTGAAAAGTGATTCTCTCGAAACATGTCTATTGTTTTGTCCTGTACAATGGAAATTCTGTACTGTATTTAAATTTATTATTCATGATACTAGATTGGTAATAATTTATGCTACATAATTTTGTAAATACAATCGCAGCAAATATAACAATTCGAATCAAGTACTGAAAAATAGTATTTCAATAACAACTGCAAATGATTTGAGAGTGTTTGATGGTAATACGGTACAGTGTAACTGCCCTATAATAGATTACTTTTCTCACTAGTCCTTCCTTGTCATTTTCTATATAATTTATCCGTTTATCACAATTTGAGAAATATATTCTTCGCAAACAAATTGCTTATCAACATTACCAGTTTTCATTTTGAAAGAAATCTCAATTTCACATTCATGAACTTTATTTTTGTTTCATAAACGTATGTATAACTGTCGCACTTTGTAATAAAAATCGCACTTTGTAATACCTGTCGCACTTTCTAACAAACTTGTTTCAAATAACCTGTCACACTTTGTAATAACTGTTGCCGCAGTTTGTAACAACGGAGCTGTCGCACTTTCTAACAACTGCCTGTCGCGCGCTCTGAGCTGTCGCACTTTGTAATGTAATAAAGCCTGTCTCACTTGTAATAACTTGTTTCATTCTATACTCTTATTGTTGTGATTGATTAATGTTAATTTGTGGAAATATAATTTACAGTGTGGTGTGGTTAGCCGTTGGACGAGCATCTATCAAAAAGAGGGTGTGGTGTTTAGGGGTGGTGCTGGCCCGGGTGAGGGGAATGACTTTTTGACTGGTGCTAAACAAGTCTCAATTTTGCTTCATTCAATTATTGTTTTTGATATACAGGTATTTACTTAATTTGTTATTCTATATTAGGAATAATGTACGACTGCTGAAAAGCCGTTTACCGAAGACCACACATTTTTAACCGGCAGAGCCTACGTGTTACAAAAATATAAGCTTCATTGCGAATTTAGGCTCCACACCTAAATTGTCGTACACCGGCGGACTTAAACTATCCCCCATAAAATACAGGCTTTGGTTTTATTAGGACCCGTTCACAGAGTTAACACAACTAAATTCCATATTTACGTGGCTAGGCCTATTCATGACCAGTATGTTTGGTTCCCCTTCCCATCCCCAATATAATTTTTAAAATATTTAAAACAGTGTAATATATGAGAACAATTTGTTATAAAATCACTTCTTATCCTTATTGAAAGATTAAAATTAAGGTTACAAAAAAAAGTATAAACGAACCACTGTTCTTAATTCTATTCTTTTATTCTGCATCAATTATAAATATACACTGCACTATAGCTTTTAGCAAAGATTTATCCAACCATTATTTTACAATTGTACAATAAATATAAGAGTTGTCGACACAAATTAATCTATATATGTTTATAACCAACCAGTTATTAAGCATTTGATGCAACATCATCAGAAAAAAAAATTCTAGGAAAAATTTTAAACGGATACACTACAATACGAATTGCTAAATAGGTACGGTAATCCTCTAAGGTTTGTTTACCCTTACAGCTGAGAACAGATGAGCAATTTCCTATCCATCTGCAGTTTGATTATCAGATACTGCTGTCATCATTAATGGTAGGCCTATATATTAACAAATATTCTTAAAGTACAGTACATTGATTCTAGATTTACAATACAATTTTGTTTCGTAATAATTATTTTGTCTTAGGCCTATTATGATTATGTTTTCAAAAAAATAATCGATTTACAGCATTTTAATAAGTTACGTCCAAAGTACCATATTATGTCTTCGAACGATATTTTATGTCTCGTATTGTAGATCTTGACAAGACACAATAAGCTTTAGCCTCGACCTGCTTTTCAGATTTCAAATCACATGACCATGACATAGACCTACATTTCTGAACACTTTCCTTTATAGTACAATATTACTATTTTGGTTGAGAGTGTTGGGCGTCAAGCTTTCCTTTACATTCTACAGCAAGTACACTCGCTACTGACAGGGCGAGAATGATGCTTTATAAATCAAGTCTCTTTTATGAGGCTTAGAGATTGAGAAGCATAGGGAGTGGAGTGTTTTTGGTCGTGAGAAAAATTCCTGCCTTGAGAGGAATTGAGCCCAGAACCCCGGGATTAGATGGCAAACATCTTAACCACTCAAGCTATTCAACTCCACTCAATTACAGGTTTGCACATCTTTCTACAGTACATGTAAAGTCAATGCAATAGGCCTAGTTCAACACAACCAGGTTTACAATTTCCGTCGGGCCCATTCAGTTTTTATTTATAAAGAAAATACTTAAAAACTTTGTAAAGACGTGGAAAAATGAGGGAAACTGAAACGAGTTTCGTTGAACTTTGTCTATAAACGCACTTTATGTCGAAATAAGATAGAAAAACACAATGTGTCAAAAGAAATATTCATAGATACTGTATATGATTGCAATTTTATGCATTGTATAAAAAGAATTATTCAACTATGATGATTATACATTTTTCAGGTACTAAGTTTGATAACTGAGAGATCTCTCTCTGACGTTGCTGATCAGCGCGATACGACCGCCATGTTTGATATTTATCGAGTTATTTGTCTGAATCATTGATTTTGATGGTAGCTTACCATGTTTCATCATCTGTATGACTAGGCTCTTGACCTTTCGGATTTTGAGGGTACTTATGGAGTTGAGCGTGTTTCATAAATTTTTATTTTATACCGTACTTTCTAGTTTTAGAAGTTTTTACATTCACAGCACCAGAGGGGACTACCGCCAAATAGGCTTATCGGTGATATTAAACTGATCTGTTTTCTCAAGTGGGCCGACTGACCCTAAACGTGCGGAATAACAAAAGCACACTATTCCGATTGAACTCGGTATTACTGTAGTTCCACAACGTCCCTGGTCACCCTGCATATACATTGGCCTTTATTACTTCTTTCACGTTAATAGTTAGTATTTTGATATAACGAACGATAATTGCTATATATTAAATAATCATACATAAGAGTGCCAAGCAGAACATACCTTTAATAGACCTTTCCGGAGTGTCAATCAAACTTAACAACTGACTAATCAGAACAGCGCTAGGAATACGCGCGCGTTTCACAAACACACGTGTTGTCCCACAAACGCACGTGTTCGCCTATGTTTTAACACTGTCGCCTTGTAGGACCTTAGCAACAATATCCAAGGGGCGGGGCTTAGCGGAAAGGTCCATTATTACCTCCTATGCCAATAATTCTGTGACCTTCATGAGAGGTCTTCATGAGATAGTTGCGTCCTTCCATTTTCATTCATTATGTCACACTCTAATATCACGCAAGGCTAGATGTATAGTCACGATCCGCGCTTCCCCTCATGCGATTATACCACAGAAAAATAAAAAATCATAGAGATTCCTTAATATTTAGGCCTACAACAGTGAGGATTATTTAATCGATCGCATTCTTAACGTAGCCTACATCACCGATGATTATGATCCAACAATATAGGATGATTCAAAATTACAAGTGTACTTCTTCATACTCCAATTTCTAAAAAAACTCCGCCCAAGTCGTTTCCATCGAATTCAAACAGAGGAATTCAGTTGTACAGTAGTAGTACAGTATTATGAATTGAAATTATTTAGCCGGGACGGCAAACGAAAGCAGACATAGCAAAATACTTTTTAAAAATCATTAAAAATATCAACAATTTCAGTTAAATAGAGTTTCTTTGTAGTTGATATTGTTTATTTACAGAGAACAATGATACGGTAATTAGCCTGATAGGTATACGGATGTACACCAAACTGTAACCCCGTCTTCTTTAAAAACTCCTCTACATTCTTAAGTCTTGTAACAGACATGAAATAAACACAGCTACTAATTTTGCAAAAATCAATTCCGGGATAAATGTTCAGTTCACGTTGACTTGGCTATAAATTTTGTGACGCGCAAATAACACAACAATGATAAAACCATCCTATTTAATTACGTTACACGACTTATCGGAAAAATTATTAATATTAATAATCGATCAGCATCGAATATTAACAAAGAAACAATACGAGTATTTGATTTAATCACGTTAGAGCTTAAATGTAGGCCTACGTGTACATTGTATTATTTGTCATTGTATATTAAAATATTATTTTTTAGTACTAGTTCAATGTCTAATGATTATCCAGTTTCTTCACAAAATAATTATATTACAGATAACAGAAACCGCAGCAATGCTATCAGCATCCGACTGTCATTATCTCGGCCGTGAATAACTCGTTAATGCATCGCTAAACGCGTTTATCGGAGCGTGACGCGATTATGTGTTATACCTCGTAAACAGGACACTCGGTTCAAGGTTATTCCAAGGAGGCCAGCCTCACAGAAAACGAGGAATGCAATAACATCAAGTTCCTTTTACAAATCAAGAGCTAATGGAAAACATGGAAAGCGACCAAAACATCGATACCTCATATAAAACCTGAGTTACCCTTTGTAATGCAACTGGACGCCCTAAGCGATGTCAAAATGTGATTATTTCGGAACAACTATTAACAGTAAAATCGAAATGTAGGAATAAATATGACATTACCATAAGCACAATACAGTATCTATTGCTTTTAGTCAATTTTAGAATACTGTACGTTCAATAATAAAATCATTTTCTTAATCATTAACATAATATCATGATATAAGATTAACGACATATTTTCAGTGGCGAATGTTGCTTACGACCAGTCTGACCCCTCCCCACACCACATCCCCACCCAACATTACGAAACCTACTTCCCATATAAAATCAAGTGTAATTTCGCAGATGGACATCCTCCTTTTCATTCATATTCGTGCACAGTAGGCTACTGTTTGTTTATTGCTTTTCGCGTGAAATTCAATTACACCACAATGTGTGCATTTGGAGTTGATCACATAGCATAGGCCTACATCCTTGTCCACAGCATGTTGGTAAAATCCCCTCACCACCACTTCAACTCAATAAAGAATATGTATTAGTGTTTCATTCAATTAAAATACGTTTAAATAAATTAGAAGCGTGTTTAAATAACTGAGACTGCGTTAAAACCGTGTGAAACTCGCGCACTACCGATACCTTACACATGCGCATGTCATCCGATACGTATTGCATTTTGTCGTACCTCTATCATTTCCAAATTAACTTTTATAATGTGGCAGTAATGTTCACGTAATAGGCCTACTCCTGTTATCCCGCATTAATTCAGCTACTTAATGTATACATTATCTTTTTATCCCATCCTACATTCGGCAACAGACGCAGGCCTGCAGTAAACCACCCTTAATGGATCCACCAACTCGACTGTCCTCCCCCACTGAGCGTTCTCTGTGGTGACTACTTCATCGAAACAAATGGATGATTCGACGTCTGACAGGCCAATAATAAAATCGACAGGAATCTCAGCGCATTCTATCGTCCTGCATCAGCTCAACAAGAACCGATTCCATGTCTGTATCCCCGATAAGGTGTCGAAAGAAAAGGTTCTCAAACGTTATCTTGTTAAATCCACGAACTCCGGGCAGAAGCAGAAGAAGATGGGACAACCTAAGTGAGTCGTTTGGATAACAGATTTTTTCATATTCCATCAACGTTGATTGGATAGACTCATGAATTCTCTCCACACTTGCTGTTGCCGTCAGGTCTCTCATGTCTGCAAGTGTAAAAAATGAACCGCAATTTAAACCACATTAAGTAGGCCTAGTCTTTTTAGTTTTCATTTAGTTTGGTTTGTTAGTTTCAAAGCAGTACAATATGCCAATAGAATTGTTTAGTGCAGCTCATATCGATACACCACCAATCAATATTTAATTGGTGTTTTGCAAATCCTATATTTGTGTAGGCCTATTCACCTTATGAACACCAAATCTGCTGGCTATGTACTAAATATTTATATGAATGCCACACTTTCGATACATGCATTTGGTGACGAATATGCAGTGTCGGTGCCAGTTGGGGGTCAGGGGGAATTTTCTTCCGTCGGACAATCATGGACCACTCTATCCCATCATTCGATGGCACGACGAGGTCATCGACACGACGAGTGTCAGACTAAAATAATTTGTCGTTCCTAAAGTTTAGTGTGATCGCAATGTTGTCCCGTTTTTGGTGACACGTTTAAAAGCTAAACGTGTTTAAATATATCTTAATGTGCTTAGGATCGTGACGTGTTTAGCATTAAATGTGCTTAGGTATTTGACATCATGTCAAATACCTAAGCACATCGAATGCTAAACACGTCAGAAACCTAAACACATTAGGCCGGGCCTAAACACGTTTAGCTTTTAAACGTGTCACCAAAAACGGGACAACATTGCGTGGAGCTTTGTGTTTAAATGCTCCACGCTGTTTTTACAGTGTATAATTCTTGGCCATTCTAAATCATACAATTTCTCTTCATGACCCCACCAGGGATTTTATTCTGGCCCCGTAGTTTGGTCCCTCTCCGGCCTTGTTAGACAACCCTTTTTCGGGGTTTTTTTTTTTTTTTTTTTTTTTTTTTTTTTTTTTTTGGGTTTTTTTTTTTTTTTTTTGTACAGCCACCACTGACGATGTGCATGAGTGCAGAGTATGGCGTCATCTAATCTGCTCTACAGTACAGTATACCGGTATTCTAGATTCTTTAGGCCTAATGAATTTTAATAAATAAATGTACATACTTGGATTTAATAATAGGAGCATCTTTAGAATTGCATATTCCTTTTCATCTGGCTTAATTTCCCAAAATTTACTTAATACAAATTGCAATTGTTCAACGGCCTTCTTGGTCGGTACACCCTCCATGTATGCTCTCCTACCGGGACAGTTACCTCCACCAGATTTGGAAACAATTTGATCCGAGTTACTGAGTGTTCCATCGTCTGTTTCAACAGTATAACGAAAATACGCCTGTGCCATACACAAAATAACAAGTTCCTTCCAGGCAGACGTGAACAGACTAATTTGGTCCCTAACACACAGCGATGAAAACTGCGGCAGGCCTCGGGCGAATTCCACGCAGCGCACAAGCCAATTGGCAAGTTTAGTGTTGATGAGTGAATTTGGGGTGAACGCAAGGTGAACACGTATGTACGGGCATCTACACATTTGCTGCGTTTCGATGCGTGACGAAGGCAAGGCCCTATCCTGAACCGTGTCTTCACGAAGTAAGCTTTCTAGAATTGTGTCTCTGACATTGCACGATTCGCCACCTCCATGGTCGCACTCACTTGAAGACGTTGACACCGACATTACCTGAAAATATAAAACAAATTTAACTGAATGATTTTATTTAATGGCTTAATTTTTTGCATGCCAATGTTCGCCGAGATCAAAACGGTTAGGCCTGATTACTACGTTATCAATAAAACCTAGATCAAAATATTATTTAGGGCCTATAGTTGTTATAATTTTAAGCGGAGAAGTTAACTACATTAAATATTTAAATGTATGTATTTATACAAATACCGAACACCAACCGAGAAACCGAGAATCACGCTTTAAAAAATAATAACTACAGGAATAACAATGAATTATGCCTACAGGCGGGTGAGCAGGTTCATAGATAAACTTCGCCTGGCAACCTTGCCAAGCGTGCGTCTTATCACTATCGTCGTGTACAACATAATTAATCAAGCAAAGATGATGTACAGTTTTCTACAATTAAGATATAATCACTGTATATGCAACGTAGCTTGTATCCATTATTAGATGAATTTAAAGTCTAGGTTAGAAACCACCTTAGGTCTCACTTACAATAAGAGTGAACGTTATATGAACCCTATAATTATCTTTATCATACTGATTATTGCACAGGTTCATGGCCAGTCAGTACTGTTTTCATAATTAATACGGTAGCATATCAGGGAAAATGCAAAGGGGGAATTCATTATATAAAGGGAATCACGTTGATGTTGTCTCGCAAGAATACAAAGCTAGATTGATTTAGAATCACACGCGCCTGTGTTTAAACACAAATGAACATGTGTGTTATTAAGCAATCGCCCAAACACAGCACACGCACGCACACCTTACAACATACACGCAGCAGCACGTGTACGGTTGTAAAATAAACACGTGTAATAAACACAAGCGCACACGTGTATAAACGCAAGATTCTGTAAAAGCAACACCTGCACATGATTAAATATAATTTTTTTTAATATAATGTAATAAACATATATATATATATATATATATATATATATATATATATATATTTAAACTGGAAAACAAAACATTATAATGACCACATGGAAACGCCACGTTTAAAGATATCATTGTTGAATTTAAAACAAATAAAAGCATAGGCCCTATAGCGTATTCTATTGAAAATTAAAACTTAAAAGGTAAAATACTGAAAAACAACAATGCTGCAGGAAACAATGGCTGGATCTCGTTATAAGTAATTTTTAAAACGGTAATGTGGAAAAAATCGCATGGACGTGATTCGAACCCAGGACCTTCTGCTGTCTATGCAGACGCTTAACCAACTGGGCCAGTGCTGCTTTCGTTGGAAGTTCGAATCTAGGAGTAACATATATAGGTGTACATAACAATAGGGTTTCTTCTCAACATTTAAGTATAAAAAGTACTTTATGGTGAAGATTTGTCTAGAATAGGATTTAACTCAATTGGCAAATGATCAACACGTATTTCCTTATTGGATCCTTTTCACACGCGATGTGGTTCGGAGTCTATGGCCCGGGTGTCCAAATCAAGACATGAACTGTTTTGAGTAAAGTCTATGGCGGTCAAAGCCCTTGTATACGGTCTGTGTGTCCGTATAAGTCTTGTCTTAGGAACCGGGTTGATGATGAATTTTATTTGGTTAGTCCACAGATCCTATATTCAATATTATCTGAGGTTAGTCTAACATTAGTCAAACATCCATCAAAAAAGCTTTAGTTAAATAATTTAGTTTAGTTGGTTTAGTTGTAGTTTAGTTTCATTTTAAAAGCGACCACAATGCACAAAATCAAATTTTTTTTTCTGGCTCGAACGCACCCTATGTGTATCTTCCCCTAACTACCAGCCGGTATGTCAGTGTATAGCAATGAAGTCAAAATGCTAGAATGACACCCCGGTTTAGACAAGTATAATCGTTCGTGTCGTAATGGTTTTTCTACTACTACTAAAAAATAAAAAAAAAAACTCACTTGTGGCATTTTAACTTAGCCTTAATTTATTCTTATTTTGTTCTTAATTTTCCGCAATTTCGACAGCCTCATTCTTCTAATAAAATGTGCTCTTATAAAAAAAAATGTAAGTGATGTTGCTATTAAAACGTACAACGTTACTCGTATCATGATGATCCTTTTATACAGTATACCCCGTCACGGGTTCAATGGATAGATAGCGTATACATACAGTATAATTATGGTTATACCTCTATATATGTTTTCTGTCGATGCCAAGAATAAAAATGTTGATTAATTTGTTTCAAATGCTTCTAGTTGTTTGAATCAGCTCATTTACAGTCGCTTTTAATCCACTCTTTACATCAAACTTTGCTATTATTCATTTAAAAGCAGAATTGATTTTGAATTTTTATTCGTAATGGTTACGAATTTATACAGTAGTATTTTTCATTTGGGAAACAATTTGCTTGTTTCTCCATGTCCTCCACTGGTAATTTTTTGATAGGCCCTATCGCTGTGTTCACGGACAAATATAGATTAACATGATAAAATGCCTTCAAATTAGTCTACTAGGGCGTAAGAAAGCAAATTTTTCATTCAAAGCTGGATACGGGCCTGGACAGTTTATCGACTGGTTTGTTATCGATATCACCAAGAAAATGTTGAATGCTATCCATCCAAAAAACTATTAATTCCCTTATGATTTTTTTAGACTGTTATTGACACTTGATAAACTGTTTACTGATTATTGATATCCATTAAACCGTTAGCCGTTATCGATAATTATTATATACACAAACAATTTGCTGGTTGTTATTGGTAGCCGATTAATTGTAATTAGGTGTACATACGGTACACATCTAGAAAATATTTTTTCGTTTTCACATGCGTATATTGTAGGCCTATACGTGCGTATAAAACAATTACTTCAAATACTAGAATTATTGGAATTGTATAGCTTGGTTCTCTTGTCTTTGGTATATATATATCTTAAGTATTGATGTGTACTCGCACGTGCTCTCAACGCGTTTTGCTTTGTGTTGCAGCCTGATTCGCTTTGTGCTAAGAGGAAATGAGGGTTAAGTAAAGCGTAAGATTTCAATGGAGAGGCATACAGACTAATATTACCGAATGATTGAAGAATATTTCGCATAGCACGAATTATGTAAGATTTGCATACATTGAGCTACTTTATTTTGTAAGATAGTATTGGGTCCCTGGGGGCGTCCATACAGGATTGCCTAGTGATTACGTATACGGTTACGTGAGAACGTGACTTCGCGTGGTTGTCTTGTAATTAAACACATAGGATAATAGAAACTCTCGCTCGCTCGTTGTGTTTTCGTATAATTAACGAACGTGATGAGGACGAGCCTATGTTGAATCTATCGTACTCAATAGTTTATTTTGAAATGGACAGTTAAGTCATCAAGCTAGTTAATCCAGATGCAAAACGGTAATTAACGATAATGAACATATCTACGACCTCACTTAAATCAAAATTGATTTATTGGGTTGAATAAATCAGAAATTTACACGTGTTGACAGATAAAGAGTTACATGTTTCAACCGATTGCATACGTTCTTTGTCATCAAACGTAATATTTCCGAATTATACACTGGTGAGCGAAATATGTAAATATGCATACTTTTCTTCTTTATAAATTAAAAAATAAAATTTGCATCTGAGGAATACATAGATAGGATATGCTAGGGTTCAAACACACATCGTCTGTCATTCGCGCGCGTTATGATTTACTCATCACTTATTGGCTGAGAAGGCCGATAAACTATCACGAATCACCTTTACTAACTTCAAATCTTGGAACTGCAGTTGCAGTCGACAGTCTATACTCTGAACCAATCAATTCACAAATTAAATAGCAGTTTGACCTGGCTTCTTTCCCCCGGAACGTCAAGCAATGATTTTACAGGAAATGATCCTTGTCACTATCATAACCAGAAAATTATTGGACATTTTATTCGGCGTCATTGTACGAGGAAGATGAACCTTGGTGTTACAGTCGCCAGGTAGCTTTTTGTAGCTGTGACCATAATCGAATTAAATGACATTTCCAAGATGATTAAAGAACGAAGGTTTAGCACTAAAAATGTCTAGAAACTTTCAATTATTATTAAAGTCAAACACACACTAGCTTTCGCAGCTGTGAAAAATCTAAGCTGTGTGACATGTCACTAGTTTTCCCAATAACTTGGTGCAGATTGGCATACGAATTAAATAAGCATCGCTGCAAACATTGCAAGGATGAGAAATTCTTTTATATTCACATACATGTTTCAATATCCGCTATCAAACACATGTCTAGAATCGTTGTTGGAACCTCTCTTTAGGGTGAAATGAACACATAGACCAAATGACTCTGACTAAAGTCTTTCTAAAAATGAATGTAGGTCTACATCTGAGTGTTCTACTAGCCGCGTGCCTTGATATAAGTATAGGCCTTCCAGAAGTAAAATACTGTAGTATAGTTGATGCTATAAAACTATGAGTGCGTCAATTCAGTTGAGTAGTGAACTTATTTGTCTGAACATTACATAAATTACATAATTATAGAAGGCTTATATCTCGTACTTAACAGTAGGTACTTAAATAATAATGTTTTTATTTTTTTTTATATGCTTTAAACTTTAACACAGAAGTTAGGGTGAATGAACGGGAGAACAAACTCCCTCTTTTGAGAACACATTCACATCGTGCAGGCTATATCCTCTTGTTTGGTGTTCTACTTTATACCCAAGTTCAACGAACGGTGGTGGTATATCAATGCTACGAACTCGTCAGGAATGTTGTGATTAAGAATTGCACCTTCGGGCCATTTTCCTACCTCTTCAACTATTCTGTTCCATATCAAACGACAGATTGGAAAATCGTTCGCAAAATTGACTGAAGTGAACACAAAGAGGAGAAAAAAAACCCAGCCCGTTAAGTTCAAAGAACCATGTTAAACAAGTGTGTGATATCACAAACCTCAAAAGTCAATTATTAGCTGAAGCCGGTGAAAATTGTTCTTTTTACCAGTGCCTTTTATTTCCTTGAGCTTTGCAAGTAAGCGGTTATATGAGAGTTCAAACGCAAGTTCATGTGAAGGTTTA